AAAATAACAATTTTTTAAAATCCCTTGTTTCTACCACCCATGTCAAGAAATACAACATTGCCAGTAATTCACAATTCCCCAAGGTGGCCTTCCCTAACCTTTCCGCCTCCATCAGGAGGAAATCACTATCCTGACATGACATTTAATTGTTTACTACTTGTTTTTTAATAATTTTACCATCTAGAGTAAACATACCTATTATGTTTAGTTTGAAAAACTAAGTTTAGCACAAACCTACCCAGCTGTCTAAAGAAAGGGTAACGCTGCCCACAACTAACTACAGGCTTCCGGAAGAAGACAAGATACACAGAATCTGTGAGCTGCAGCAGGGCTTCAGCTCCTCTGAGAAGACATATAAACCTATTTCTGGGAAGTCTGTAGGCAAGGTCATTAGGAAATACTGGGAAATACAGAGGTCAAGAAAACTGGAAAATCTATCAGGTGTAGTGTGAGCCAGGTAGAGTTTATCTGGTATGAATGAGGTCTGGAAGTAGACTACCTTGTATTTTCAATTTTAAGCCAACCACAGCGAACCTCTACCCTCAAAAGTAGGTCAAGGCAGAGTATGCTTCTGCTGGGTAAAGTGAGAATCCTCAGGTGATTCAGGCAGTGGGACTGCAGGAACTTTATCAGCACATGGTCAAGATAAACCAAGTACTCATAAGTACAGGCCCTCCTCATGTGGGTAAGGTGTCCTCAGGTTTAAAACAATGTTACAAAAGTGGTTGGCATTTCAGTGACAACAGCGCCCAAACCCCCATCCAATTTGTCTCTTGAGTCAAACTGCTCTTATCTAGATAGACTAATCTGTCTACTACAAAGCTGCCATCCTGGGATCACCCTTCATGTCTGTTCTATGCTATCTCTCCTGTTTCCTATGTCTCACATCTTTGTTTTATTCTCTCCTTTGCAGTACATGCTCCAGTGCCTTCTTGAGAAAGAGTGCATAGGAACTAAATTTTTTGAGACCTCAAATATCTGAAAATATATTTATTCTAGCTTCATACCTGATTAACAGATTGAGTATAAAACCATAGATTGGAAAGCATTTACCTCCAGAATTTGAAATGCTTTCAAAATTCCGAAGTTGGTTGGTTTTTAATTTCTCTTTAATTTACTCCAAGAGCCTAAAAGCTAAATGGCAATTGAACAATTATCATTGTTATCTTTTCCGATAGTGTTTTCCTTAAGATATGTGTGACTTTAAAACTGATAATTCCCAATTAGTTGCCAGATATTGTTCTAAATTACCCAGCTAACAACTAGTCATTAATCTTCACAATCATTTGATAGCTAATCTATAACTTTGTAATGTTTGGAAAGCACTTTTATAAACTACCAGTTAGAGATACTTATGAGGTAATGGCTATTACATTTCTTTTGCCATTACTATCAACTTCGTTGGCACTCAATTTTACTAATTAGGAGATAAAAGATGAACGTAATACCCAAAGAGGTTAATATTAGCTTTTTATCCATATATTAAAACTATTTAACCTATAAATATTTAGATTTTTTTAAAACATGAGGCACTGTTTAGCAACTTTGTTTATAAGCAAATGCATCTTTTTCATTGTATGTTATTTTCCTATGAAAATACCAGCTAAATGTGATATGTTAACTTTTAATTTTTAGGTTACCAACCTTTTCCACAGTTGATAAATAAGATACATCTTTAAAAACAGCTGAATCTTCCCATATGCAGTATCAATGAGCATAGGTCGAAATGATTACCACCACATTCATGAGATCTTTTATAGACTCTGATGCCAATACTTTGCAACAATATTAGAGGGTAACACATACAATGTAAAATCAAATTATAAATATTTACGTATCTATTTTATGCAAAGCACCTTGGTTATAAATCTAAATAGTCTAGATCAAACCTAAATGTTGCTCTAATAGAGCATGACTGGAGAGAGATCAAGTAAAAGGCTATGCTATCTCAAGAAAGCTACCTAAGAGAATTAATTATAAAAAAACCACTATAAGTTAAATAGCAAAAAGAAACAATCCCATAAGAAAAATAAGTGATATAAACAATAAGCAGCATATACTCATGCAGGCAATGAATTTAAAAAAAAGTTTTTGAATAAGTATTTTCACATGATGCAAATATAAAACAGTATATAGTGTAAAAGTCTCCCCACTACCACTGATCTTCACCTGCAAAAGTGTTCCCAACAATCAGGCAACCAGTTATTAACTTCTTTTGTATTCTTCCAAGGTTTTTTTTTTGGCATATACTCACAAACATAAATTCTTATTTTCCCACTTATTTTATTCATATATAGCCTATACACACTGTTCTTTACTTCTTTTTTCATTTAATATATCTTGGTGAAATATTTCAGTATAGTTTTAATTGCAGTCCCTTTATAATGACTAGGTTCAAGCATCTTTTTATATATCTAAGGTACTTTTTACTTAGTTTTCTGTGGGCCGTTTAATCATGTCCTTTGTACATTTTTCTACTGTGTTGCCTTTTCCTATCAATTTCTAAGAGCATTCTGTATATTAACAAAGTTATATTTATTTGGTTCTAAATAGCTTTTTCAAATTTGTCATTTGCCAAAAATTTTGACTTTGCTTATGGTACTGTGTTTGTTTTCTGGTCACAAAGTTCAAAGGTTTTTGTTTGTTTGTTTGTAGTTGACAAAGTCCAGAACACATTACCCCAAAATAAAGTGCTTTAGCATATTAAATATTTTAAGCTGGAGAATTTGAGAAATGGCAAGTACAGGAAGGACCTTCCCTGCCCTTCTCCCCAGAAGCAGGTTATAAGACCCTCCTGTGAGAGGTGCCCTCCCTATACCTGGAGGAAATAAATAACCTTACTTTCGAAGACAGGGGACACCTAGAGGAATTAGAATGAACAGGCCTTGCTAAGTTTCCCACAGTTTACCACTCTGAGCTCATACCCCTTTGTCCTATTACATTTTTCCATGACTTTCCACTCTTCATCTAACCTAGTATAAAAATACTAGTATAAAAACATCTTTAGGTCTTCATTCCCCTATGAAGACTCCCCTGTCACTTAAAAGTTACATTAAATAATTTGGTATGTTTTATCTTGTTAATCTTTTTTTAGTCTAATTTACAGGGGCCCAGCCAATGAACCTAAGATGAATAGAAGGAAAAATATTTTTTCCTCCCCTATAACATCAAAATTACAGCTTTTGCCCTGAAGTTCATCTTTTCTTAGTAAGCAACCAGAGTAAATATAAAAACAGACTTTCTTCTTTTATAAGATGATTTTTGAGCAACATTTCCTTATTAATACAAAGTGAGGATATGATTTAAATAGAACCTTCTAACCACTTAGTATTTTCTTTTTTTTTTTTTTTT